AAATCCTGCTGCCTGCACGGCCGCAGCTGCCCCAGAGCCGTGGGGAAGGAAGGGAAGGTGTGGAGAGCTCGGAGCCCCAGGTAAATCAACTCGGGCTGGGCACCGCGCTCCGGCTGGCACGGGAGCAGAGGGTGGAACAGCGGGAGAAAAACTGGGCTGGGAATCACCCTGGGCACGAGTTGGGCCATCCCCAGCTCCGGTGAGCCTGGCTCGAACGGGATTAAAATAATTTGGGGCATTCTGGAGCTTTCAGTCACCTTTAGCAGATGCCTCAGGTTGACCCCTCGCTGCCCGGCCGAGGAGCAGCTCCTTGATTTCAGCGTTTTCTCAAGAAAGGGTTGAAGTCCCGGGGGCTGCAGGCTCACAGAAGTCCCCTGAGACACCCAAAAAAAGCATTTTTGGTGTCAGGCTCTCACTGGCGGCTGTGTGAGATCAGATTTTTTGATACCCACCCCGTATCGGCGCCTCCATCTCGCCGTACCCATCTCTGCTGTTGCTGATAGTTGGATTTGGGGCTCATTTTGCAATTTCCTTTTGAACAGCTCATTTTTCAGATCCTTATCTGCTGCTGCAGCAGCATCTCCTGCCCCACAGTAGGAAATGAACCTTTTAAGAGTGGCAGCCCTTTGAGAAGGATATTTGGGGACAGATTTGTTCAGTAAGGGAGGGGGGAAGTTCCTGCAAAAAATGAACTTTTAGCTTGGCAGGCATCAAACTGTTTGCATGAGTGGATTCACAGGAGATTGGTGGTTATCAGGAAAGCTTTTGATGAATTAGGCTCAGAAATGTGTCATAGAGGAAATGATAGAATTTGCTCCACAGGATGGATAATGCCATTGCTCTATCAATTTACCCATCAGTCTATCAATCAAATTATCATGGCTGCTTTAATCACTGTATCAAAGCCTCTGCTGAAGATCTCTCCCTATCAGCCATTTATAAATAGTGAGTGATTTATATTACACTGAGAGAAGATTTAAAGTGCTTTTTTTTTTTTTTTTTGCAAGTGAAATCTCACAAAAGGAACACCCCGTTGCTATTTTCACAAAATGAACATCCTTATTTTTTATTAAAATCTCTTGAGTGTTATGGCCAGAAGTCCCAAGCCAAGGGGCCCAGCCCAGGCATTGGTGTTTTCTGATTTTCTGCCTTAAACTCTCTTAACCTCACCAGGATTGAAGCTCTCCCAGTATTAAACCCGAGGTGTTTCAGACACTGAGGTGTTGGAGGGCCTCTGATATTTCTGTCTGGACTCTGACTCACACCAACCCACGACCTTCCTTTGGTTACTTTTTCCATGGATTTTTTTTCTTCATCTTGTAGTTATCCTTTTTTTTTTT